TTTTTTTTTTTTTTTTTTTTTTTTCTTTTTTTCTTTTTTCACATAGTTTACTGATGTAACTCACAATGTCTATTTGCCGAAGTTACCGACTCAATTCCTGAATCCTTTGACCAAATGTTTTGTGTTATTGGTTTAGTGTAATTTTTTCCCCTAAAAGTTGTGTTTTCATTTGGTGTGTGCAATTTGTATTCTGGTGGTGCTGTTGCCGGTGGTGTGCAGATTGTGTTCTAGTGTGGAGAATTAGTGGGGTTGTGAGTGATGAATTGGTAGTTTGACAAACATTTTGGAAAAAAGAATTAATGGCAAGAACTGATTTGAAAAAAAAAAGTGTTGGAACAAGAACTAAAACGTACCTATTTTAAATAATATAGAGTAAAAGAGAAATTTTGGGCAAGTATAAAACTTCATATTCAATTCTTGTCATATAAAAAAACAAATTTAAACCAGTAATAATCATATCACCACGCTTAGTCTCTAAATTAATCAATTGAAAATAAACATTACAGGGAAAAATAATAATAATAATAATTTCCCCACATTGTTATTTATGACACACCAACATCATATAGTGACCATTGCATGAATCTGATGAGGGTCCTTACAGCAATGAAGACAAGCAGTCACATGGGCTCCTCGAAGAGGTAACCAAAAGCCCACACTTACCTTTCTGCCAGCCTTTCAAAATCACAAAAAGAACCAATGACTTTGAAATGCAAAAACAGGCTTTGCAGGAAGCAGGAGATTCAAGAGGGATACTCCCTCCTACAAAGACCGTGTCAGACTTCTCATTTATACTTCTCCTAACTAAAGTACCATGCTACTGCATTCATAATGGCACTCAGATTCAATATCATAACAACCAACACATAAAATGATGAATCAACTGCAAACTCAGACAAAGACATTAATGATCTCTTTTTCATTCTGTTGCAAAATGCCAAGGAAATGAAAATTGCTCTCAATAGATTTTTAAGATGTCTTTTACTCCTATTTTCAATTTCTGTTGGACATCACCCCCATATCACCAAATTAAAATATATAAATGAGAAATAAGCTTCATTTTATAACTCATTGCTCAAGTTTGTAAGATTAAGTCACATCCAAATTTATTTTCTTAAGATGATAATAGCTCATCATTCTACTTGTAAATGTCCAATCTTGTAAATCTAAACTTGAAATGTTTAGTTTTTATCATAAGTGTTAGAGTATAAAACTAAACAATCTTCACAAATTAGTTTTATAAAGTTGAATTAAATTCATAATCACTATAAATATTTTTTTCACTTTCACTTTTTGTTTTCAAATATATGGACACGAAACGCTAACAATAACTTTTCCTTTTTCGTGCCTTAATAATGGATGATATATGAGATTTTGGGATGCTGCTGAATCATTGCACTTTGAAAAGTTTGGTAGAGGCATGAAGCATTTCAAGGAAAAAACAACGGTCTCCCTTGGCTAAATGAATTGGTAATATATGGTAAATACATAAACACGCCTAAGTAACAACTGAGAGAATGAAAAATTCCCTTCAGTGTCTAATAGGGTCTTGTAAAGTGAAAACAACTAGATATTACTATCTTACACCTGTTACAATACAAGCAAGCATAAAGATACATTTAGATATGTGATGAGATGTCAGGGTTTCCACACGTGAACCTTGAAGCTTTTGCAAAATAGCATTCATATCAAAAGTGACGGTGCAATTGATGTGTACTAAGCAGCACAGCCTCCACACATAATACTTCTGTCAGAAAGTAAGAATACATGTTAACATATATAGTCAAATGTCACTATATTATACTATAAAATTTCAGCAAGAATATTGGAAGTTGCATTTCAAATAATTATACCCATCAATATCACTAGTGTATCATAAAATCAAAACTCAGTCATGAAAGTTTCAGAGGAGTGATCTTTAATTTCTATTCAATGCTCTTTCAGCACCATGGTCTTTTGTGGCAGTGTTTCTTTTCTTTCATTTTTTTGTGTAACAGCAGCTATTTAACTTTGTCAAATCATCAATATCCTACTGCATAAGTAGCAACACCACCTAGCCTAGAAATTTCATTTCCTCATTAGGAAAGTCTCCTTAAATTACACACTATCCTATTATCAATCTCATCCATCAAAATGCTTCGCAAGAATCAATGATTTTAAGTATGTTTCACTGTATAGGAGCAAGGGACTTACACAAATGAGCAACCAGACCTTCTATGCCTTTTCTTCCTTGCCATTTCTTTCCTCCTTGGTGGTTGGAGAACAACCTTAATTGCAGTATCAAACACTGCTTTGACATTCTAAATCATGAAAATATAACACCATCAAATTCTGTGTGCTATAAGATTCACTACAAACAAACCATAACAAATATGATTTCTGATTGATTACTGCCAATCTATGATTTCTGATTAATTGGCTGTATAAATTTTGGACATGGAAATTAAACATATTAAATTCAAATCCACTACCTGTTGAGTCTTGGAACTGCACTCAATGTAAGCTGCTGCACCTATTTGTTTCCTCAGTTCTTCTCCCTATTAACAACGTGCCATGGTTGATAAATGATATCATTTCTTTACTTCAACACAAAATGCAATACATAAAGAGCTTCATGCTTATAAAATAAAGGAAGCTAATGTAAAGAATATAAACCTCAGCAGATGTTATGACATTTGATCCCATATGATCAGCTAAATATCCCCGGTCATCACGAAGATCTAGCATCAACAATTAAAAACTTTATTATGTCATTAACTTCTTCCCTCTATTCAGTTAGAAAATAACAATCAGTGTTATAAAATTATAATGTGATGCTGCTTACCTAACTTTGTACCAACAAGAACAATTGGAACATTAGGTGCAAATCTACGTAATTCTGGCATCCACTGTAAGAGAAAAAAGAAAGCAGAAATGAGTAACTGCTTTATGGGGGCTTCAATGCAAAGGTTTAAGTGCACATAAATGCTATGTTGAAATTGATAACTCCTAATTGGCTAATACAATGAAGACATACACGTTCCATAGTAGTAAAGCCACATATAGGCCTGAACAATAATATAGCAGCTACAGAGTTAGGCTTTGTTGAAACATTGGAAGTGAAAATGAGTAATAATAAAATAAGACAAATTTGTTTCAATTTCTAATTTTTCCTCATAGTAATGTGAGAAAATATCATCTTAAGAAAAAAATTCTCATTCAAAATATTTTTTAAAATTCATCGAAGTGACCCTTGGACCTTGATTCACGTTAAATATGAAATATGAAATTGAACTTTTGGAATGTCAAACCCACATTTTATAAACCATGTGAAAAAAAATAAAATTAGCCGGCATTTTATCATAATTAAAGAAAACGAATCATCGTATCAACTATATCAATACTAGCAGAGCAGTAAAAAATATATAAAAAAAAAACAATTGTTATTAAAAAAGAAAAAAAAACAGACATGATATCAAACAGTGTTTGGTTTTATAAAATACTACTACCTTACCGATTAACAATACTACAATAGTTAGACAACTAATAAACAGTTTAACAGCTACGATGCCTTTAGTAGCGCTAGTTTTATAGTACTGTTTGAATATGATCATGACGTGCAATTAATGCTAGACAACTTAGATTATAAATTAACATACCATTTAATTTTATATTTTTCCGTTTGGATTAGATTGAAACCGTTTGTTCCCCTCTCTCTTTCCAACGCTCCTGTTTCTTTTCCTCTTTAATTTTGTAGGGTGGTTTTCTTTTCCTCTCTTTAAGTAGCCATCAATAGCCAAAAGTCAACAAAGGCATCGTGGCAAAAATCAACCAAAAGACCCAAGAAACGTTTACTTGTAATCACTGAAGCTCCTTTCAACCAAACACTCATTATTCAACTTCATTTCTCTGGTTGTGATCATATTAACTTGCAAATTGACCCTGTTAATATAATTGGTATATTTTCATTATCGTTTTAAAAGGTTCATAAGAAAGAGATACTTTTAACATCTGAAAAATTAGATTGCACCCTTTAACATTTGTTACAAGATACTTCACAAATATTGCAAACAACATTTTTCAAAAGAAAAAAGAAAGATGTGACAAGGAAGACATAGTAAAATAGAAAATGTTTTCCTTCATATACGTTCTTTGTAAACTTTCTTCTCTAGTTACTATGTTCCTTCAATCCCTTCTTTCCCCCACGAATCCAAAAATATACACAAAAGAGAAAAGGCAAAACAATAGCAAACAGATTAGTCATCGGAAGCAGTAAATCCTTTGTGTAAATAATATGATTATAAAAAAAAAAAACAGTAGAAAGTAGAGATAGACATGAACCTTTTTGAGAACATTTTCATAGCTAGCTCTGCTAATGAGTGAGAATGCTAAGACAAAAATGTCTGCTCCTCTATAGCTCAGTGGCCTCAACCTGCTATAGTCCTCCTGGCCTTTAAAACAGTGAAAAAAATCATCAAAAGTAAAGAATGAATGTTGAACAATCAAAACACAGTTCTAGACCATAAAAACTCGAGGAAAGCGCCAAGTACCTGCTGTGTCCCATAGCCCCAAATTAACAATGCTTCCATCCACAGCTACGTTGGCACTAAAATTATCAAACACTGTTGGTATGTAATCCTGCAACCCAAAAAAACGAAAGAGAAAAGGAAAACAAGACTAGTTAGCAAGATGATAATAAGAAAAGGGTTTCATACTTTCATTTCATCACCTTCATTTGAATCTTAGACAACTCAAATCAAAGATAATGAAACACATAAATATATTGGAACAAGAGTCCAAATACTAACACAGTGTCTCGCATTAAACCTAGGTATTATTCAGAGAAAACCCCCCAAAAGGGTCAAAAACCTTATATTGTTCATACACATGAAATACCTCCAAAGTTAAAAAAAAAAAAAAAAACGGTAAGAAAAAAAGGGAACTTGATGGATAAAACAAGCATCGTTGATGAATGGGGTCTTACAGTGGGGAACTTGTTGCTGGTGTAGCAAATGAGCATGCAGGTTTTCCCAACAGCTCCATCTCCAACAGTGACACATTTGATGAACTTTGAAGCATTCATCATATGAACACTGTTGTTAGCAAAGACTAAGGTTGAGCAACACTTGTTTTTAATACAGAAAAGACCCTCAAAAGTTGAGTTTGAAACTAAGAAAGGGTGGTCTTGATGATTCTCTCTGATCTCTCTGGGTTACATTAAAGAGTGTGAGATGAAATAAATAGATATATATAGAGAGAGATAAGACCCTTCTTATAGTTTAAAGAAATAATTAAAAAAAAAACTAGAGAGATAAAGAGTTGAGCTGCAATGCATATAGTAGTAGTTTAGTCAAATGGTGTTCGTTGCTGCACTTTTTATCGTCCCACTCAATAAATTTCAAATCCAACAGAAATTTTTTTTGAATTACACAAATGGGGCCCTCTCTCAAACGGTACCTATGCTTCTTGTAGCACACACAGCTAAGCTTCATTTGTTGGTTTCCAACTACATCTCATTAGTGACTCATAAGTGCTCATCACTGCAAATTAAACTCACTGTTTCGACATTCCAACTGTTTCCTGGGTCGGCTAATAATAATAATATTTGAAATTATTTGAATACCATGCTAATTCTGTCACAAAATTAGATCTTTATATATCACCGCATTATTAAACAATAATAACCTAATATAATAAAAACATTGTGATAAAAAAAATTATTATGTATACCAACATGTTGTTCCGAAATTAGATTCAGTTGTTATATAAAATTTTGTATGAGAATGTGATTGAGAGAGGTCTTAAAAGTGGCTAATTAGATTTTTTTTATTAAGATTAGTCCCAAATAGATATAATTTAGACATTTATCATTTTAATTTTTAAAAACAATGCAATATTGTCATTTTTATTTAATTCAGACTAATCTCATTATACATGTGGGACACATGTCATTTTTCTTATTGTGACACCTATATAAGGATTTAATGTCATTAATCTAAATTAGATGAAAATATAATATTTATATAATGAATTAAAAAATAAATTATATTACTTGACAACAATAACAAAAATTACAATTAAATGTTGTACTGTTTTCTTGGCAATCTCACTTTGACTCATTATTACTTGGAGAAGAAGAATACCAATTTTGAGACACTTGCATAAAGTTGTGACAGAGTAGAAACAACGAACAAAACGCACACATGTCAATACTCAACAGTTGTATAATATTGGTCACTAAGCACTACACTATACAGTGGTTGGTATACAGCATCATATACTAATACTATTATTAAAAGGTTCAAATATTTGTTTAATTGCTTGGGTGCTTAAATAATTAATGGAGTCCTTAATCTAGTTTAGCTCGAGAAAACAAAGGGAAAAGGACACATTCAGAAGGTGGTCAATTTAGAGAAAATTAGGATAGAAAATGTGGGTTATTTGTTGTTTGTGTTGATGAACGTGCATGACATTGGGAAGAATGGACCTACGTGTCTAAGGTTATTTCCAGATATAATAAAAGGGTCAGACATCACGACAGATTCAAAATGTTTTCAACCGTTTGAAGCTGTTGTTTTGTCCGAATCTGATCGCTGCATCTGTCTCAGAAAATTAAAAGCAAACCAAGTACCTCAAGGTTAGGTAAGTTCTTGATATATATGATTGTTGATTTTTGGGTTTTATTTTTGTGCAGGATTTAATCCATGTGAGCAATGTAAAAAATAGAAAACTATCAACTATGTACCATGTGTTTGGTTAATTGGTTCCACATGTGTCACGAATAATAAGGGGTAAAATAATAGCAGAATTTTAGCAATTGTATAATCAATAAAAAGGGGTAAAATATCAGTTCACAAAGATAAAAAAGTATATTAAAATATTGAACTTAAAATTTCTGTACTGTTGTTAGCGATGTAAATTACAGGTAGTAGTAAAATCACCGCCCAAACCAGCTTAGCATGTTAGATTTTTTAACGTATAATATTAAATAATGTATTATACATTATATAGAAGATTTTGTCTCATTTAAATGATCTTATAAGAACACATCTATTGGAATTTATAACATTTGATTTGGTAAAATATAAATAATAGTTGTATCTCTTTATGAATGGTCATGGGATTAAAAGGACACATTTATTTACAAATGTTGTAACTTTTTATTTATAGTTATAAATTTTAAATATACGATTGTTTATAAATACTTTAACGTTCATCAATGGTTATAAAAGTTTATAGGTAAGACTACTTGTAAAGAGATATTTCACTAATATAAAATGGTTATGTTTCTCTTATTATATGAATCATTTTTTCTTTCTAACATCTCAACATTAGAAAAGGCTAGAAGAATTGTGCATGTAAATTTAGAAGATCAAAAAACTTAAATTGTTTCTTCTTAAAAAAAATTTATTGATACAAATATTCTCTTCAAATCTCAGTATTTTTTAACAACTTAACATAAAAGTTCTTCTCATGAAGCTTGGAATCATTTAGTTCTTCCTCTTTATCATCTTCTATTTTCTAATATAGCATGCACACATAATCAAAACTAATAATCATTGTCAAATAAGAAATTTAGGAGTTCTTTAAACTTATATTAAAGTGAATTAATATCTACAAATTTTTACTTATTTTATAAATCCACATTGTCATCGGAATTGTAACATTACTACCTCTTTTTTGTCAAATAAGTTAGATGCAACATTAATCAATTGCTAATCATGCATAAAAATCTGTGTCTTACAACATGCATGATTTTTTCTTAAAGAAAATATAAGACTACTGATAACCAACTAAAAATGTGATTATAGTTTTGTTTAAGTTATGAATATATTAATAATCAAATTGAATTTAAAAAATCAACAATAACCAAACAAATATGTTATCTGATTTCCACATGATCATAAATTATGAGGATGTAGAACTTTTTTTAATAGAGTAATAAGGTAAAATTTTGCCTCTTCATATAAAGAATTTAAGCTTAATTCAATCGAGAGTAAACACAAAATTAAATATTCATTTTTTTTATAAATATACTGTCTGATCTTAATTCTTAACAATGTGTATGAAAAAGATCAGAACAAAATTCACTATGATCATATCTATATCTCAAAATAAATTAATCACCTACAATCAAGTTGAATTTTTTTTTATGTGAATTAATAATATCCTCGACTGATAATAAAAACTAATTTCTTATGAAATGTAGAGATTATTAAAATAAATTTTATCTCTCCTAACCAAATTTTTTTTCTGGTATACACAAAAACTTACTTTGATAATTTTTATATTTTTGAAATGGATTAATCTCCAACTATAGGACCCTGCAATAAAAAATAGTTGAATTGACTGAACTTTTTTTAATTAGATGAGAGTATTGGCATATTTCCAAAGTAAAGGGGTGTAGGGGTGGTGGCAAGTAGCAATTAAGATGCATCTTTGATCTTTGCGCCTCAAATGTTAGCATGTCCATTGTCCAACTTTTCTTAGACATTACTGTGCTGATTTCAGTAAAGTTGTGGCACATAAAAGCCAAGTGCATGGTTATAAAGTTCTAAATACACCATTCATGCATCGATGAACTAAAAATAATTGGACCTACACAACAAGCTTTTTTAAGAAATTATCATCATAATGTACAATAAGTTGACACCCTTGACGATTCAATTGTAACTTATTGCCTAACTATTTTTCACTTCCTACGGTTTCGTAAAACAACAACATAGCTATGACTATCCGAAGAGATAATTTTTTATTTATTTTAAAGGTGAACAAATTTAGGCCTTTGCTAGATTGTGGAAAAAGAACTACCGGACCCAAACTAAAGAGACAATAAACAAAGAACATTAACAGATGACTAATTATGAGTGATCAAATTATGTTTACCTACATATACAAGAAAAACCATCTATGAATAGAAAATGAATAATATATCAAATACTCATTTTTTTAAGAAAGATTTAGTTCATTTAACTTAATTTATCCCGATCTTTCATAAAGAAGGAAGTTTACTATCAACAAAATATATTACATTATATTTACCTAACTTATATGACACTTATCTAATTTATAAGATACTTGTCTAATTAATTATATGACTCTTATTTAACTTTATCCGTGACTCGCATAACATTAACGTAATCATAACTATAAATTTTTGATAATAACATTCTCTTAACTTTATTTATGACACTTTATCCATTTAATCTTATCTATGATATCGTATGGTGATATGATAATATTTTTTTACCTAACTTTATCTACATAATAATGATATCTTTAATATTTAAAATTTTCACATGTTCTAAAGGCACAATTGTCACTTTAGTCAAATATGATCGAAAGTTGAAGTGTTAAAATGAGTCTAACCTAATAAATTAACTTGATTCATTACGAGTATGAACCGAATCAGCTTAAGCAAAAAAAATAGTACATCAATTTAAATTAAATTTCAATCCGAGACTCTAATTCTAGAAAGTTATTTTTTTTTTAAAAAAAAGGTCACGAATACTTATTTAATACATACCAATACACGTACAAAATAGTTATAAACTTATAATAAAAACAAAATATTGTATTACTAGTTTTATATATTAAAAAGACCAAGAGTAGAGGGTGGGACAAGCACAAAAAACAGGGATATATAGATATGAATAAGAAAACAAGGAGAACAAGTTAGAAGAAAAAAACTTGAAAAGTTAAACTGATAATAAAAATAAGAGAAAAGAAACAAAATAATAAAACTTCTAAATGAATTACTAGAATCACCAAAAGTTGCACAAGAGTCGTGTAATAATTGCAAGACAAGGAAAGAAAGGAGACATAATCATAGAATATGTTCGTGAGTTTATAAATTTATTTTACTAGAATTTTTAATAAACTTCTTTAATCAAAATAAGCTTTTTTTATATATAGAAAAACTTATCTTAAAAATTTATTATTTATTTTTATAAACTAATTAAAATATCTTAAATATTAAGATGAGATGACATTCTCGTGATTTTGAAACCTACGTGAAGTGTTTAGAGTGGTCTCAACGATAAATTTTGGAAACAACATAGTTATTTTTTTAATGATAAACTCACCATGATTTTATTCATACTACAATTTTCAAGCGTCAAACGAAACGCGCAAGTGCAACTAATGGCGTAGTGACACTACAATGCATAATTGACAAATGACAACAATAAGCCCAATATTGGCCAGGCATTTCATGTTGTTCAAGCATAGAATTTTACCTTTCCTTTTATGAATTACTTGATTCTACAAAACACCAAATCAAGCGCGTATCATTCTCGGCAATAATCTGCAGCATTTGAAGCTAGAAATTTTATTTACTTCCATAATATGCACCAGATCGTGGCCCTTCCTAGAGCACACAACACAACTACATATATGAAAAGGAAAATGTTTCTAGTATGGTCTGGCCTCAAAAGAGTCTTAAACACACATCGAAGACAGTAACCAAGGTCCCTAAGACCCAGCTATGAAGAAGCATTAAAGGGTTTAGAGTGCCTTGATGATCTCTTCTGCACTTGAGATGGTGAACTCTCCTCCACTTTCAACATTTGCAACCTTCACCTTGAGGTCTTCCACAAGTAGAGCAAATCTCTTGGAACGGACTCCAAGGCCTTTGTCAGAAAGATCAAGCTCAAGCCCCAAGGCATTGGTGTATTTGGCAGCACCATCAGCAAGGAACTTGACATGCTTGTTCTCTGGGAATGTTTTGGCCCATGAGTTCATCACAAAGGGATCATTCACTACAAAATCAAGGGCAATCTCAGATTAGATACTTAAAAAATGATATATCGTCAAGACTTTGATTACTAGCACCGTGAGCACTTTGTTTTTGTTGATCATGGTATGAGTGTGTCCAACACATTTTATTCAACACATAACACCAAAGGCCAGTTCAATCCATATAGTGTGTTTAGGAACACATTAGGCACTGTTGGATGTAGAGTTCTAATCCAACTAATTTTTAACCCGTACTAGGAATTTTATAGTAACTCACACACACTGTTCAACCAATTGAAGTAAACCCCCTTAATAGTGCTAAAAGTTTCTATCCATGTTAAAAGCAAATCCATAACTAACAATTTCAGCAGTCAAATCTTTGCCTTCGATTTCTACCACAGTTAAAAGCAAATCAATAATCAATACTCAGCAAATACATTAACAATCATGCAACAAGCTATTTGGAATTCATGTCTAGAAAGAAACCATGTATAGGAGAGTCAGTGGGCTCAACAAGTGCAAAAATGCTGGTGAATTTCAAGGCAAACTTGGAAGTTTAGATTAAATTGTGCAACACTAAGAATTGAAAAGAAATTTCAAACGCAAGTCAAAACATACTACAGTATATATCACTAGTCCATCACTGTCACCTGATTGAACAATCGACCATCCCAACTCAAATTAACAGATCAGTGCACATTTTATTTATCTTGAACAACACATAAAAATCAGGAAAAAAAAAAATAGTGGCTACATGCATGCATCTACAGAGGGGAAAATCATGAGATGTTTAGAGTCTCACCGCTGATACAGATTATTTCATCCACACCCTTTCCTTTAAGTTCTTCAGCTCTCTCAATGAAGCCAGGCACGTGCTTCAAGCTGTTTCAAAGTCAAAGATTTAGACCAAGCTCTTTAAACAAACTCATCTATCCCTTCAAAACCCTAGTAACAATCGAAACAACAAACTAACCCCAAAATTTGGGGATTCAACACCAAATCCCATCAAATCATTTCTACAATTTTCCCCATATTTTCCCAAGGAAATCAAAGATATATATTTTTACTTTCGTTGACATCAAGAAAATTTACTCGAAAGGGAATTCTACTTAGAAAATCAAACTTGAAAAGAAAAAGAGAATTTCAACTACCCCACTTCAAAGTTTTCTTGGATCAATGTTGCAAAATTTCACATTTCCAATTTTCCGATTTCAGTTTTTCTCTCTAGGAAACAAGAATTTTTTTTAATTATGCTTTCTTTGAGATCATCAAATTTTAGTCAAAAGGGGATTTTGCTTAGAAATAAAAACTGAAAGAGAAAAAGAAGAGAAATTTGAGCACCCCAATTGAAAAGCCTCTTGAATCAACATAGCAATAGGTCATATCTCCCAAAAAAAAAAAAAAAATCCAAACTTTGGGGGTAAAAAAAGTTGAATCTCATGTACCCATGAAGGTGTATCCGTTTATTTTAACAGTTAGGATTGAAAATTGAAAATGAGAAGCTAAAAAGAGAAAGGGGCAAGTGAGAACCTGCAAGTGGGAGTGAAGGCACCGGGAACACCAAAGATGATGACTTTCTTGGCGGCGGCGAGAGAGTGAATGGAAACAGTTTGGGGTTTGTTGTCATCATCCAAATAGGCCAAAGTGCCGTCTGGAATTACACTTCCCACTGCAATCGGAGCCATGAATATGATGATGGTGATGACACTGATACTGATCAATTTCTGTATGCTTCTGGTTTTCTTTCTTCACCACAAATCCAACCCCAACTTATATAACAAATAGTGCCGTCTTTTAATTAATTTATTTATTTATTAGCGGTAGGTAATGTTAAGGTGGAAGCTTCTGGAAGAGAGGTGGTGGTGCTGTCGTGGAAATCCACCATAATAGTTTGCATTTTTTTTCCTTGTGGAAAATGTGTTTTGTTGAATTGAATTGGTTTTAATTTTTATTAAACCTATTTTTTTTTTATCGAATGGAAAAAATATAATAACAACAATAAAATTTAAAATTAATAACTTTGTTTTTTCTCATTTACAATTTAATATTTTTTTATATTATACAAATTAATCTCATTTACTTAAAGATAAGCTAAAATATATATTTTTCTTTATTTTATTATTAAAATTTGTTTTGGTCTATTCATCTTATAAAATAATCACTTTAATCTTTTAACTTTAAAAATTGAGTTGATATTATTATTTTGAAATAGTGATTATTTTTCAATTTTTTAGACACAATTAAAATTTTAAATATAATAATTAAAAATAAATACAATTTTATAAAATATGTCTTCTAAAATAAGAATTGATTGTATAAAATTAAAAAAAACAGAAAATATAAAAAGTTATTTCAATCTTAAAATATAACTACAAACTCATATTAAAAAATTGAGATAAATATTAAGTCATGTCCTTTTTTTTGTTAATTAGAGTTATGTTTTTCTTAAATGACATAGAAATAATATAAATGTAAATAATGAATAGTTAAAATATTTTTATATATATATAATTTCACTTATTTTATTTTTAGTCTTTATAATTTAAAATAAATCTTTTTAATTTTTGTGTTTATTTTTTTAATCATTTTTAATCCATATGGTTTCATATAAATTTTATTTAGTTCTTATACTTATAATTTTTGTTAATCCTTTTAGTTTCCGTAGTTTATTTTTTATTTCTTTTTGTAACATTTACTTTGTGTTGATATAATAAAAGTTTTCAAACATGTGAAGATAAAAAATTTGATGTCTTAATAATAAACATTACAGATAAAAAAAAAATCAAGTGTTGAAAAATCTAATTTAATGTAATTTTAATAAAATAAACATTACAAGACTTTAAAAGGACTAATAAATGTCATTTATTTTGCTGGAATTAATTTAAATTAGATTCCTACACGATACTTCTTTTATTCCTTAACTTGCGGCTGCCATTGTTAGGATGCTTTACAAAATTAAAGACTTTTACTACATAAATACAAAATAGACAACATTATAAAAAGAATTTAACGAGACTAACAAACTTAAAAAAAACTACAACTATAAATACTAAAAATAATTATCTTAAACTATGGAAACTAAAATTGATTGAAAAAATAAGTATAAAAATTAAAAAATCTAACAAAAATTAAAAAGTAAATTAAGTGGAACTATAAGAAATAAAAATAAAAAAAAAGCATTTTACCCAAAAGAATATATATCATGTGTCACATGTTCTTACTTTATTGAACTAATTATCTTATTACTTTATCAGATATTTCCCCCCTTTTAATTTAGAGTTGAGAGCTTGGTTGCATGATCCTTACAAGCTAAAGCACACAACACATATATATGAAAAGCAAAATGTTTCTAGCATGTTCTGGTGTCAAAAGAGTAACAACACTAGACAGAAAGATGAGCCAAGGTTCCTCAGAGGCAACTATGAAGAAGGATTTCAAGGGTTTAAAGAGCCTTGATGATCTCTTCAGCACTAGAGACAGTGAATTCGCCAACTTTTTCAACATTTGCAACCTTCACCTTGAGGTCTTCCACAAGTAGCGCAAACCTCTTAGAGCGAACTCCAAGCCCTTTCTCAGTGAGGTCGAGTTCAAGCCCAAGGGCATGAGTGTATTTGGCTGCACCATCGGCAAGGAACTTGACATGCTTGTTCTCTGGGAATGTTTTGGCCCATGAATTCATAACAAAGGGATCATTCACTACAAAATCAGAGGCAATTTCAAATGAGCCACTTAACAAGCTATCAATCTTTGAGATTTTGATTAGTAGCACCATGAGTACTTAGTTTTATAGATCATAGTATATGAGTATGTTCAACACATTTTATTCACCACATGGCACGTAAGGCTTGTTACTTGTCAGTGATTAAGCCCTTGCGATGAAATGTTCTACAATTGAATAACAGCAACACAAGAAAGAAAGTAAACAATTAAAATGTCTTCCATCTCAGTTGAAATTTGAAATTTAACAATTTCACCATCCAAATCATCACATGAAAGCTCTCTGATATCTACCCATGTTAAAAGCAAATAAAAAATCAATGGTCAGCAAATATATTAACAGGTACTTGCCCTGAAATTCACCCGCAATGGAAAAAAAATATGGGTGAGTTTCAGGGCAACTACTTTGGAAGTTTAGATTAACCTATGCAACACGAAGAATTGAGAAGAATTTTCAAATGCATGTCATTACAAACTGCAGTACAAATTACTACGCCATCAATTGATTTAACATTCTACCATCCCAAGTCCCAACTCAAATAAACAGATTAGTGCAGTCTCCTCATGTTCCTAAGCCAACATTTTGTTACTACATTAATCGTGATTTGCACATAAAAGTACTTAAAATTAGCAACTACATGCATGCACATATGGAGGGGAACATTATGATATGTGTAGAGTCTCACCGCTGATACAAATTATTTCGTCCACACCCTTTCCTTTAAGTTCTTCTGCTCTCTCAATGAAGCCGGGCACGTGCTTCAAGCTGTTTCAAAATCACAGACTTTATAACAAAACTCTTCAAACTTGAAACAATTGAACCAACATAACAAAACTTGGGGATCCAACGCCAAGTCCCATAACATAAGCATGATCCTCCAATTCATCATACCACTCCCACGAATATTTTTTTTTTTCATAGCACCCCAGTAGGAAGTTATCTTGGTCCAATGTAGCAATAGTTCAAATCTCCCAAAACAATAAAAAAAAATTGAAACTTTGGGGGTAAAAAGAATGGATCTCAGGTACCCATGAAGGCGTTTCCGATTAGTTTAAAATGTAGGATTGATATTTAAAAATAGAAAGTTAAAAAGAGAAAGGGGCACCTGCAAGTAGGAGTGAAGGCACCGGGAACACCAAAGATGATGACTTTGTTGGCGGCGGCGAGGGAGTGAATGGAGACAGATTGGGGTTTGCTGTCGTCATCCAAATAGGCCAAAGTGCCGTCCGGAATGACATCTCCAACTGCAATGGTAGCAGCCATATTCACGACCATGATGCTGCCATGCCACTAACAATCACTCTCTCAAAATGATTGAATTTGGGCTTTTTATCCAATTGGGTCTCCAAACAATGAGGGTCCAGCAACTTTCAAGTGGGATCAATTTTTTATTTATTTTTAAATGTGGTGTGGCTACTCTCACTAACATTCAGTACTTTGGAATATGCCTCACCCTTTGGTTAACGTTTCCCAATAAGTCAAGCAAAGTTTATTGGGGTGTATTTAGTAACATGCAAAACCATACATTTCTTTCCCTTTTCTGACATTTTGGATCACAAAAGTCATCTAGCCCATGCCACCAATTCATGTGTATGGGTTTCTTTCACATTGGCCTATATGAAAAAAGCAACATAAGCCCACTTGTATTTTACTTTTGTTCAAGTTTTTCAGATGCAAGTCTGTGGTTAAGAAATAACATGGGAAAATTTGATAGGCAATTATGGAGTGGTACGGAAAATGGTGTGTATCCACCAGTCAAGGCAATATCATTAGATGATGCCATGATTATATATATATATATATATATATATATATATATATATATGTGCAAATTAAATTAATTTCTTAAAATTATGCTTTTTTATATATTGTTGTCAAAAGAGTTCTTCCATATACTTTACATTTTATCATTGTTCGAAAGACGAAAGTTCTTCTAATATTAATATCCTGTTATGATCATAGTGCAATTTGGTGGATGTATTTTTTAAACGGTCTTACTCTTAAATTGTTAAATAAAAATAATTATCCTTATTAATACAAGACTCAAATTTGATATTTTAAAGTTTAAGGACTAAGAGCAACACTAATTAATTTAATAAATATTGATAATTTTTTTAATAATTTTATTAAATAGAATATATAGGCATGGAGTATCTTGTCTCCTTTTGGTAGAAAAAAGTGATGGTTAGTTGTGGTGGAATTCTTGGTGCAACAACAACAAAAATTTGAGATAGCGGAACCTTAACAACAACAAATAATCAAAATAGTCCCCAAATGGGACAACGGCACATTGGAAAATAAAAAAGTAGTCCTCTAGTGAAAATAGTGGCATCTTATTTTTTTTTTTTTTAAATTACCTCCATTGAGGATAGCAACACTATCCACAAGAAAAAAAATATTTAAACTAGTCTCTAAATAGAAGTAACAACACTATAATTTTTTTTTTAAATTGATCCCTACTTGGGAGTGGTGACATTTGTACTTAAGTATTTAACTTTACTTACTTAACATTTTACTTCTTATAATTCAAAATATACTTTTTTTAGTTCTCATATTTATAATTTCCGAACCTTTTTAGTCCCTATAATTTAAAATATATTTTTAGTCTTAATAATTTTTTTTTTGTAATTTTATGTATCTAATGTTAAATTTATTTTGCTGAATTACTTTAACTTAGATCTTTCAATGCTTCGTATCTTTTTTGTACCTTCATCTATTGTGGCCATTGTTGATACACTTTTTTTATCCTCACAAAATAAAACAAAAATGATAATGTTACAATTTTTTTTATAAAAAAAATAGTACTAAAAAATTACAAGTATTGAGATTAAAAAGATTTACCTTAAACTATAAAGACTAAAAAAATTAAAAAAAGACAATTATAGAAATTAAAAGGATCTATTTAAATTATAGAGATTAAAAGGTAAAATAAGTAAAATAATATGAAGTAAAAAATTATTTTAAGAAAATAGATATTATTTTATTTCCTAAATTACTTATGTTTCTATATATAAAATATATTTAACTCTTTTACTTGTTATTTTTTATAATTCTTTTTCTTCTAATTCTCAATTGTATTATATATATATATATATATACATATATTAAATATTTTTATTTAATTAATTTTAAACAAAAATAATAAATACCTGAAATTAATCGAATATTTTTTTTTCTCTTATTAAGATTGAAGAAGATAAATAAACATAATTTAGTTAAAAGGATAATTTTGTAAAATTAGTTTAAATTATTAAAAAATGTAATACTCTTAACTAATTAACTAATTTTAAAAAAATATATATATATAATTTAGTTAAAAAAAAACTTATAATTAGTGACGGAAGTGATATCAATCTTCATTTCAATTAACATCTGGCTTATAGACGGCGATGATGTTATGCCTATATATAGGTTGCAAATGTACCCACGAGATGTAGAAAAAAATTAAATGGTTTGGAAATAAATATTTTAAATTTTTATGTTATGACGGATAAATCTAGAATTTTCTGCACAATTACATGGTTTGGAATCTTGAGGTTGAAGATGGCTACCACCTAGCTTGTTGGGCACTTTGCGACCAACATATCAAAGAATGAGATGTTTAGAGAGTGTCGAAAGGGAAGACCTTGTTATGACTTATGAATACAAGCCAACTAAGTAATTTTGTAATTTAAAGTGCTAATAGTAGTATGTTACAAACAGACATCTTTTGGGGGTTCTGCGTAATACAAAATCAGCAGTAATAAAATATTGCATGTGCTAAATAAAAAACAAAAGCAACAGCACCTAAACCAATTTTCTTTGGTGGTTACTTGTGAATTGTTAGCACATGTAAACTAGAATAACGACATGTTATGATCTTCCATTAATAAACATTAAAAGTTTGTCAATGAAATTACCATTACCATTACCATTCCCCGCGAACACTCCATTCACAAACTCTTGCATTTTGCCTGCTATGCTATTTTCACTGTGAGACGGCAAAAACACTGCCCCCGGAAGATTAGCGCATAGTAGGTTTCCAAATCCCGGTTCTATTGACTTGATTAAACATGCAAAATAATGCAGAAGAAGAGTGCTGCTTAGGGCCCTGCACAGTTATATCTAATTTACCATTGGATACATGAAACCTTGCCGCCACAGCAAGGCCAATATCTGTTGGACTACTATTAGCAGCAAAGTAGTGTTCCACAGTAACCTCATCATAGTGTTCATCATCAGATATTTTTCTTGCACTCCAAAACAAGAAGCCACGCCTGGTTTCCACTGTCATACACTCCGTGCATCAACGCTCTTGTTTTCCTTCGTTCACCTGATATATGGATCACGCACAGAGGCCAACATCGGTTTCAGTTATTTTTTCCACAACCTTATGGGAACGGGGAGAACAATTTTGCTGCTAATAATGAAGCAGAATAAAGTGTCGACATTGCCGTCTTTGTCAGCTTCTGTTGGTAAACAAATATCATAAATTGACTCACCTACGGTGTATAACACACTCTACTCTCAGTACAAGTCAATAGCATCATATATTCCGAGCTGTAGATGCTGAGGAAATTGAGCACTCCCTCTATAGTTATCCAAGACAACACCAAGACTGTTAGTGTTTCCCATACATATATATGTGTGTGTATATATATATACACACAGAGAGAGATATATATTGAGCACAACACAACTCAACAAAGTAGCTAGAATGGAATGGATCAGTCGGGTTACGGTTTGAGGTTGGAGACTTGAAAGAAAAGTAGGTATTCTAGGGTATGAAACATGAGAAAATGATGCAGTGCATGTGCATGCAGTAACTGAAAAAATAATGGGTAACTAAACTAGGTTAAGCCTTCACTGGTTAGCTTGGTTGGGATCGATGTTCATATGGCAAAACTATAAATACACAAATTGCTGAATAAACTTTGCACTGTCACTGCATGACTGCAAGGGGAAGCGGTATTCATGGGCGAATGTCTTATTATCAATATATATATATAACAACTTGATAGAGTTCCAAAACTATTTTCTTAAATGACTTAATTATGTGTAGAAAACATGAAATATTTAATTGCTAAAAGAAAAAAGGAATAATCATACAGAACATAATGAATACAAAAAAACAAATTCTGAACCACTAAGAATGAGGTGAGGGTTAAATAGTATGCGTAAGGTTATAAATTCTAACACAGTAACACGTGTGATTATTGAATTTTTTTTAAAAAAAAATCCTCATATTAGAAAATAATATTTTTGTAAGTACATTCCTAACAGAAAATACATTGAGGAAATGAACTGTCACGGATTTTCATTAGAATTTTTTCCAGAAATCTCCGCTATCAAAACCTTATATTTTCTTTTAATTATTTAAATCCCCTCTCTTATTTTTAAAACACGAGAGGATCCAATCCTATTTTTGGTTAGCTGTCTCCGGCTCTTGATTATTGACTTGTACAATTAAGATCATAATGAGATTCAAACTATTTTTTATAGCTGCAAGACACAATAATAACTTTAGTTGTCATTTTTTATTATTTACTGTAACAGAGGTTTGGAGACGATACCAAGGATGACCTAGCTTTAGAATGAACTAACTTTAGAAGTCAAAGGAGATTTGAGCAAAAGATCTGGTTAATTGGTTATCTTAGGTTTGCCGATTAAAATAATTTAAAAAAACTCCAAAAAAAAAAACTCCAAGTCAGTGGCAAATCTTCTGAACAACGTCTGGTTTCAAGCAGAGGAAATTTTCCCCGTGAATGGACCACTTGAAGTTAGGCAACATGCTTTCTGGGTTTCAGTTGACAAAATTTTAAAATTGCAAGAAAACTCAAGGTAATTTTCGATCCCTCTTCACTATCTTATCTATAACTGATTTCTTATAGGAAAATGAAAAAAAAAAAATCTAATTTACCTGAGTTGTTTGATTTATTTTCTACAGAATGTTAAACCAAGTAATTGTGTCACCACGATTGCCAAGAACAAGGCCTATCGTAGTGAGAGTAGACAAAGGGGTCAGTGCTAATGTTTGTTAACAAACAAAGCTTATAGTGTTTTTAAATATCCAAATTTGATGCCACTGCTTTATCTATCTCCCAACAGAAGAAATCATTGCCATTAGAGCACTGTTTGATTTAGCTGGTGGCGGTTTCGGTTTGTCTAATAAAACGAATGTGTGTGCCCTGTTAGCATCCCAAAACACTCTGGACGATGTCAGATCCATCTCCTTATTAAATTCGTAGCAATACCCACAAGAGTTGGCCTAGTGGGGGAAAAATTTATACAACATATATGCACAAAATCCTAAATTCTAACTTTGTCTTTTCCTTGTACACCCAACAAAAAATAAAAATCATAGCTCTAATATCTTTTTCAAGATATTAGCAAGGGACGTGTTTGAGAGGCAAATGCAAGGAGCAAAATAGGGAATATTACAACATATGAAACCAATTCCCGTAGCAGACTTAAATCAATTACTTTCATTTTCTCACTTAGCATGCTCCTTTGTGTGTATACTAAGTAAATGAATTCAAGACCACTGAAGAAGGAATTTAATCTCAAATGACTTGACAATATTTCCAGTAAGGTTTGCACCTAAATCATGGTTAAATTTGACAATCAGGAGGTAGGAAGAAGCCACCAACTTGTACAACATGATGCCTAGAAACTAAGAAATAAATGAACCTCCCTTTGTTCTCACCGTCACTAAATTACCAAAAGAACCTACTGGTCTATAACGCATAGAAACAAAGTCCAATATAACAAACTGACATTATCAACTGTAACAAGTATCACTTAGTATATGAATATGTAACATATAATTTTTTATTGCAAAATTTCAACGATCACAGCCTTGCAAAAGAAAGCTGTATATGACTCTATCCATTAGTATGCAAAATATCCACACACAAAAAAAAAAAGCAGTATAGGGTAGCCAATAAATTAAAGAAAATTGTTAAACAACAAATCGGTAGGTAACATATCTGCCAGCAGTTTCACTCGGCCGAATTATCTTGACTACTTGCCCACGCTTCAATCCATAATATCTTGCAACAGGATCTGTCACCTGAATCCTAGGTAACTGAAAATTATGAACAAAGCAGCATATCAGTATCAATTGCTACACTTATTTGATCGAATATAATTTGAAATTGAAGAAAGCAAGGCACCTGAGTTTCTTTGACAGTGTATCTCTGAAGCAAGGTTTTCTTCTCGGCTTGATTGAGAACTTGATGCTCGGGAACAAGGCAATGGTCCTTTATGTTAACGAGAAGCTCGGCCTCCTGAAAAACCTCCAGGTGAAATTTGGATGCGATTTCGCTGATGCAGGTTCTGGCGAAGGGAGTGAGGCTGGTCTGGAGGACGAGGATGGCTCTGAAGACGTTTTCGGAGTTCATGCGGTTGGTGTAGGTCTTCATGGTCTTCACGCCGACCTTAACCTCCTCCGGGAAGAAGACGTAGATCTGGTCGCCGGAGTTATCCTTCTTTGATTTGTTGAAGACGAGATCCTCGCGCTTCATGTGCTCGCCGTACTTGTTCACGAAATCCCGCTTCGACATGTTGATCTCGAAATCGCCCACCAGGTAGCCCCTGTCCCTCAGCATCTGCATCACCGTCCTCCTTATGCGGTGGAGCCTCCCCATTTCCTCCTCCGTCACCACCATCTTTTCCCACTCACCGGTTAGTTACGCTTTTTTACTTCCGTAATTTTTAAATAGGGTAAAATTCCTTATATATCATTTTCGATTGGGCTTTTACTTTTTTACTTGATTCGGCCCAATTATTCAACGTTTTTATTCTAAAAATAGTCCGAAAACAATAAATGAGAATTTATTTAAAAATATGATTGTGAATATTTCAAAATATATATTTATAAAAAGTTATATAAAAATTAAACAAGTTTAATTAATTTTTTTAATATGTATAAATTTTAAGAAAATTATATTTTATATATATATATAT